GGGGGGGGGGGGAGTTGAATTGTTGACTATTTAATAATTAATCGACTAACACAAGTATTAGTTGACTGATCACAATGCAGAATGAAAGTAAGCAGTGAAGAAGAGTAAATAACACACAACGATTTATACTGGTTCGATACCGTTGTGGTACTTACATCCAGTTTTCCTTGGGTCACAAGGGTTCCCTTAAGATCGTTGAAATTGTTACAACACAGATGATTTTAACGCGTTCACCACCAACAAACAATATCACACTTTGAGTTCTGAGTAATTGACACAACTCTCTTTTGTGTTCTAGATCTTTCTATCTTTTGAGACACTGATAACTAAAGATTCCAGTGTTTGAACTAAGAAGTAGACAGACTTAGAATACAATGTATGTAATTGCGCACTTGTTGCTTGAATTTTTCAGTAACTTATAGGCAAACATTATTGTGTGTATGTATTTTAATCCAACAAGGTGTCTCTGATTCTTTCAAAGAGCTGAGTATTGTATTCCAGCGGAGTGTCTCTGATTTCTTCATGGAGTGCTCTTGGAGTGCTCTGTTCCATACCGAGAGAGATGGGCTGGAAGTTATTTAAACTATGGAGTGCATTGTTCCATACCGAGATGCTTCATATTTTCCTTGAAGATGCACATGTCAGATGGTCTTTATTTGGTGGATTTTAATTAATCCAAGGAGTGCTTGATGACAAGAAGCACCACTTCCAAGTGTCTCCCACTATAATGTGTTTCCCACTCAACTTGTCTCCCATGTCTTTTGTCCTTTCTTCGTCCCCTTTGTTTGATGTGAATTGCAACTTCCTTTTTTTTTGATAGCTTGCATCATCGTTGATGGCTTTGATCTGCTTGGAGTGAGCTTAATTCTGGATACAAAATAATTACTAGCGAGCTTCTTGATTAGAGTATCCATGATTGGCAATCTGAGTTCCTTTGATTGAGGACGAATAAATTTGCTTCTCTTGATTGACCATTGATGTAGCAACAATATCTTTATTCGAGTCTTGATTGATCATTATTTGCTATTTCGAATCTTGTAGCAATCGCATCTTGCTGAGCATCTCCATTCTTTCCTTTTTGTTAGTCCTGCAAATATAACATAAGATAATATTGTCATCATTGAAACTTAAACTTAAACCTATCAATCTCCCCCTTTTTGATGATGACAACCAAGAAGGAGTAAACAGTAATTTAAGATACTTCCCTTTGAAGATGTTGCTCCCCCTGAGATTATGCTGTTTCCATCTTCTCCTGAATAACTGTAATTGCAGGTCCTCCTGTTGGTGTTTACTCATATTTTTTCTCCCCCTTTGACATTAATCAAAAAGGAAAGAAAAGCACACAGAATAATATAGGATAAAATATACATACTAATAAAGTGGTTAGAGCGGCAGAAGTAGTGCCTTCAGCAGAGGCTTAGTTAGTACAGACCCAAAATAAGCATAAGCAAAAGAAATTGTTTGGCATAACATCATGGCAAGATGCATTAACTTCTTCCCAGGAAGTATTTGAGGGTGTTGATCACTTTGGTGCAGAAGGAGTCATAGGAATTTTCAACGTCCTTGACGAGTTTGTCCATCTTTTCACTCATAGAATTGAAAGCCATGGTTGCTTGTCTCCGTGTGGCTCCTATGTCCATCCTGAGTTTGGCCACATCTGCACCTATCTCCTTGGTGACGTCCTTGATTTTATCTACATGTTCTTTCATCTCAACAAGAAGCAACTTGACTCCATCAAGGTAATGTTGAATTTGTTGAAGCTTCTGAGAGGTAGTCGACTGAGAAGCTGGTTGATCATTTTGGACTTCAACTGGCGCTGGAGTACTTTCAACCTTGGCTCGCCTAACCCATCCATCATTACCCAGGGTGTACCCCATCATTGAAAAAGCTGTCTTATCATAAGTACTGGTGGTGTACTTGGGTGTAAAGGGTGCCAAGTCTACTTTCATGACTTCTAGAATATGAGAGATGAGAAGACCATAGGGCAGACATGTAGCAGAGGAGGATATGTCCTTAATACTCTCAAGCATATAATGATGAATCCACACAAACCAATCAAGACGTTTATTATTAACAAGACAATAGAGGACAAAGACATCTCTAGTGGACAAAGAGCTAAGGGACCCAGATCTGGGAAAGAGAGTAGTGGCAATCATATGGGCCAAGACACGGTGTTCAAACTTAAGATTTTTGGTGCCAATGTGAGGGGGGTTATCGGACAGAAATTTTTTTGCTTCATCAAAAGGCACTTCAAAATCTTTGGGCCAAAAAATTTGGACAAACACATCATACCTACTAAACTTGGCGGAAAAGATCTTTTCAAATTAGTACGAGTCCAAAACGATTCTAGTCCCTAAGACCATAGATTCCAAATCATCTTTATCATTCACGAAAAGATTTGCATAAAACATTCTAACAGGTTCTTCATACACAGAGTTTCCAATAGTGTCAAAGAGAGGGGAAATGTTCTGAAAATCGATAATTGCAGTCACATCACAATGAAGACTTTTCATAAGAGAGAGACTTGCAGAGCGTCCATAAGCCATATATTTTGACTTGTATGACTCAAACCTTGCCTTTTCACTGGGGCCGTAGAAGATTAGCTTGTCCTCAAGACCAAATTCCAAGCGTTCCACTTTACCCTTCTTGCATGCAGCCTTTTTGGGGGTTTGCTCCATGGGTCTCTTGCCGACATTTTTCTGGCTAATGGGAGA